AGAGCGTGCCACATAGTCCCGACCAACGGAGGCATAATAGATAAATTAATATAATTAGTATACAGATATATAATAATATGATATATAAATATAATTATATTAGTTATATATTGAGAAGAGAGGGGATATATATGAGGAAATGTGATACCTACTTTATGCCACAAATGCAAGTTACCTCTGATCTATTCCCTTACACGTAGAGCGGCTAGTGCGTCTTCTTCCGTTGGTATAAAGCGAGCGCGTATTCTCTGTTCAGCGATATATATAACATAATACTTGAATATATACCGCGATAAGATCATGTGACAGATTACCGGCAGATAAAACAAAGCAGCAGAAAGGCAGCGCACGACGTCTAGTGTGTATGCAGTACGCAGCAGGCGAAGTGCGTAACTTAAAGAAATGCAAGTGAGTTATGGTTAAAGAAATGTTACAAGAGGTGTTTCTCGCCAGACAGTCGGGGGATGGGGAGAGGGACGGTGTACACACGCGATATGACCTTGTAAAGTTTTTTCACTACTCTAACTAGATATTGATTCTATTTATTGATACGAAAAATATACGAGATTACTAAGTGTAATAATGTTATACCTTATTCAGAGATAGATGGTAGATAGGAGAGAAACTAGCAACTTTTACGTGCGACGGTGGTTTTAGCTGCTTTTTAATGTGAATATTGAACGGGAACATTTTATTCTTGTACGAAACTAAAATACCAGAAAAAAAAAAAAAGAAAACTAAAACATGGACAAAAGAAACAAAAAAAAAAAACAAGCAATGTTGATGACTGTCTCTCAGTGCAACAGCTACCAATTCATTAACTCGAGTTGACCCGTGATAATATTTACATTTTAAGACCTAGCAAACTAGGAATTGACACCGCACAAATGGTTCGCAAAGTTGGACAAAGAGAATGTACTGTACGGCGCGGAGAAAAGAGAGAAAGAAGATGAAGAAATGTCGAGAAAAGAATCAGATAGAGAGAGTACATCTTCGCCGGACAATCTCGGAAGAGAGAGCGCAGAAAAACGAGTAAAAGAGATGCCGAGTCATAGAGAGAAATCCGAAGAACAGAAAGAAGGAGCGAGATTAGAAGAATAGAGAGAAAGAAAAAAGAGAAGAGAGAGAAGAAGAGAACGTAAAGAGAAAAGAGAGGAGGAGGATAGACATTATAAAATATATCATAATAAAAGAGAAAATAAAGAGAGAAGAGAGAAGACGAGAGAGAGAGGAGAGAGAGAGAAGAGAGGAGATGAGAGAGAAGGCAAAGAAAGAGAGCGAGAGAAGAAGAGAAGAAGGGGAGAGAGAGAGCGAGAAGAGCGAGAGAAGAAGACGGAAAAGAGGCGACGAGATCAAGAAGCAGAGATCGAAGAGAGATGAGGAGAAGAGGAGAGAGAGAGAGAAAAGATGAGAGAGAGGGTGATGCGACAGAAAGCATTGAGAGTTAATACATGAAGATACTGAGCGCGCACGGGGAAGGAAATAGGAAGGCTGCCAGCTTACTTCGCCTCTTTGATGGATATCAGACTCAATCACGATGCATCACAGGTACCGTCACTGAATCCAACGCTATCTCCCTACTCTCTCTCTCTCTCTCTCTTCCTTCTCTCTTCTCTCTCTCTCTCGTCTCTCTACTCTCTCTCTCGCTCTCATTCCTCTTTCTTCTCGTTTCGTCTCTTCTCTCTCTTCTCTCTCATCAGTTCTCTACTCTCTCTCTCTCTCTCTCGCTCTCTCTCTCTCTCTCTCCACCCCCTCTCTACTCTCTCATCTCTCTTCTTACCTCTCTCTCTCCCTCTCTCGCGTTCGCTCTCTTTTTTAGTTTCTATATATTGATCTTGTTTATCGGCGCTCTCTCTCTCGTCTCTCTCTTTCATCTATCTCTATCTCTTCATCATCGCTAGATACCTTTCTCTCTCTGCTTTCTCCTCTCTCTCTCTCTCTCTCTAGGCTCTCTCTCTCTCTCTCTCATAATACTATATAAATATATATACATAATTATTATTATATATCCGCTTTCTTTTTTTTCTCTCCCCCATCTCATCTCTTTTCTTTCCGTCCTTCATCTCTATCAATAATGACATATTCCCCGATTCCTGCGATGAAAGATAAAGACAAAAATAATGCAAGAAGAGACTTAGCTCTCAATATAAGCCTCAGCTTATCCACGAGCCTTTGCCGGGTCCGATCTTCTTCTCTCTCTCTCTCTCTCTCCCTCTCTCTCTCTCTCTCTCTCTCTGTATTTTCGCCTCTCTATCTTTTGACATTTTTTCGTCTCTTATATGGCCCTCTCTCTCGTCTCTCTCTCTCTCTCTCATCTCTCTCTCTTCTCCTCTCTCTCTCTCTCTCTCTCTTTCTGCTCTCTTTCTTGTGCGCGCTCTCTCTTTCTGGCGGGCGCTTTTTCTCTCTTACACGCCCTCGCGCACCACCATGTCGTTCTGCCATTCCCAATATCTCTCTACTCACCTTCGTCTCCCAATCAATTCCCTCCCACTTTCTCTTTCCCAATGTCTTTATCGTTCTTTCTCTCTCCTTCTTTCTTTCACTCCCCTTCTTTATTTCTCTACCTTCTTTTTTTCTCTTTCTCCCGCTTTCTTTCTTTCTTTGTCCCTCTTTCTTGGCTCTCGCTTTCTCTCTCCACTTCTTCTCCTCGTTCTCCCTTTCACGGCGGGAGATTTCCAATGCTGCTCACACACGCTGTCTGACCGGGCGGCTCATGCAAGCAAACTCTGCTAAATGCACAAAAAGAGCCGCGTATCGATTCGGCGCAAATAATTGCCTGCTCAGATGAAGCGACGGCCAAAGAGAATGGCGACAGAATCACCAGGCAAGTCCAGAGTGAGGGAAGATAGACGGAAAGGAGAAGGGAAGAAAGAGAGGAGAGAGGAGAGGGGAGAGAGAAAGAGCAGAGATAGAGAGCGGACGAGACAGAGAGAGCGAGAGAGAGAGGAAGGAGATCATGTAGCAGCCGAAACAAAAACAAAAGGGAGAGAGAGAGAGAGAAAAAACGAACAGGGAGAGGGAGAGAAGAGAGAGAAGGAGGGGAGAGAGCAGGAAGAGAGAGAGAGGAGGATAGGCACCGAGAGAGAAGAGAGAGAGAGAGAGCAGAGAGGCGGAGGCGTGGGGCGGAGAGAGAGTAGTAGTCGGAAGGCAAGAGGGAGAGGACAGTTGAAGGAGCGCGAGGTGTGCGAGAAAAAATGCAAATAACACAGAGACGAGAGGAGAAGAGGGAAGATAAGTCGTGAGAGATAAGAGGAAAGTACCACACGACACCACACCACACACAGCACACACAACACACACACACACACAGCACACCACACACACACACACACTACACACCACACACACACACACACACGCACCACACACACACACACACACACACACACAACACACAACCACCACACACACACGCCGCACGACACGCACGCACGGCGCACGCCACACTGGGAGTAGGACATGTCATGGGCCTGACGTGAGTAATTGATCGCGACGAGCGAGTGACCCGTGACGCGTACAGTAACTTGTGGACGCGTCAGTAACTCGTGAGACGCATTCACCGAGCACAGGTCAGTCGGTTTGTGAAGCCTTACTAGAAGTAAGTCCACCATGCTCCCGTCCGTACAACCTTGTACCGTGTATGTAGAAGTAGACAGGCACTCGCGGCTGGATCGCTGGCCCTAGAAATCGGTAGTCGCGAAAGATTTAGCTCGACGATTATTTACACGGATAATAAGTTGTCTTGCATGGTGTAGATCAGCAGAGGACGCGAAATGAAGATGAACGAACGACGGAGACGATAGTGAAACATGAAGGTAATGAGCTGGGACCGACAAAAGACGGAAAAGCAGAAAAGAGCGTCGAGGCAGAAGATAGGAGAGGGGACGGGGGGGGGACAGAGAGCAAGCGCAGAGAAGCTGCAAGAAGGAAAAGGCGCAAGAGCGAAGGCGGATAAAGAGAAGGAGCAGCAGAGACAAGACACAGAAGAAAACACAGAAGAAACAAAGGGAGGAGAAGGGTGGGAAGCAAGCGGAAGAAAGCGGGCTAAAGAAAACGCGGCAAGGAGGAGGTGTGTGAGAAGAGTGACGATACACCTTCAACGAAGTTCTCTCCAAACCTTTTTAAACCGAAATTATCGACAGGAAATGAATCATTGCTCTCTCTCTCTTTCTCTCATCTCCCTTATCATCTCTCTCTCTCTCTCTCTCTGCTCATCATCTCTCTCAGCTACTCTCTAATCTATCTCATTTCATTTCAAAACACACACATCACACCACACAACACACACACACCACACGACAACCACACGCACCTCTGCATACTCTTCTCTCTACTCTCTCATCTACTCTACTCGTTTCTCTCATCATCTCATCTCTCTCGTCATCTCCTCTCTACTCTTTTTTCTCTCTCTCTCATCTCTCTCTCTCTCATCGCTCTCTCTCTCTTTCTTTGCTCACTCTCTCTTCTCTCTCTCTCTCTCTCATCATCTCTCCTTGTTCTCTCTTATCTTTCTCATTCAATCTCTCTACTCTCTCTCTCTCTTTCCTCCTCTAATACTCTCTCTCTCTCCCTTAGTTTCTCTTTCTTTCTCTCTCTCTCTCTCGCTCTACTCTCATCTCTCTTGTTGCCTCCATCTCTCTCAATACTATGTCTTCTACTCGGCTCTCTCTCTCTCTACTCATCTCCTTCATCTCTCTCACCTCTCCCCCCTCTCTCTCTCTCTCTCGTCATCTCCCTTATCATCTCTCTCTTCTACGTCTCTTTATCATCTACTTTCCTCTCCTTCTCTCTCTCTCTCTCTATCTCTTGCCTCCTCTTCTCTCTTTGTCGTCTACTCTACTAATCTACCTTCTCTCTCATCGCTCATCTCTCATCCTCTCGTCTCTCTCTATCTCTTAGCTCTCTCTCTCTCATTTCTCTCTCGCTCCTCCTCTCTCTCTCTCGCTTCCTCCCACCTCTCTCTCTCCTCGCCCCCCCCCATCTCATCTCTCACTTCTCCTTCGTACTTCCTCTCTCATCTTCTCTCATCTCTCATCTTCTCTCCATTTCATCATTCTTGCTCTCTTATCCTCATCTCATTAGGCTCATCTCTCTCATCCTCTCTCTTCCTCTCTTCTCTCTCTTTTCCTCTCTCTCTCCTCCTCTCTCGTCGATACCCTTTCTCCTCTCTCTCGCTGTTTTTCTCATACAGTACTGTTGCTATTATCCTCCCTGATATCTACACCTTACGTATAACGATTCTGTGACTAGCTTACATCCAACTACCTCGCATGTTCGCCTTTCTTCTCCGCGGCCCTCTACACTTGTCAGGACTGCGTTGAGAATGCGTTCGCCAGAAAATTCAGCGTTAAAACAAAATATCATCATATATAGTATCAATAATATAATATACCTACTGATATATATACACCACAGTAAGATCTCATACTTGTGATAAGTTAACGACCGAATAATATATACACCGAATAAATATCAATAATATTATATATACATATAATAAAATATTGTGTACAATATAAGAAGACCGTAGATATCTACGGTTAAACCCGATATAGTGTTCCACTCGCAGTGGCGCTGGCAGCTTTGATATCGCGCCATCTATTAGAAGCAGATCGCGAATTTGCGCTGCAGACATGATACTCGTGGGAATTGACGTCTTTCTTACGTGGAATACGATGTATAACTGACATTCTACTCTACCTGTAAAATAAAATTGTCTGCTCGCTCTGTAATTTACGCTGTGGCGGCAAAATAGGGTATAATTCTCCAATGCTGTCCCTGCCCACTGTAACCTTCATCAACGTCTACCCCGCTGTGTTCAACCTTCATTTTTGTTTTCCTTACATGGCTAGATCTAAATAATGAATGAACTGTTACTAATTAGATCCAATAGAGAGATAGTAATTAAGTTAAGCAAGTTAAAATAATCTAGATTTAATACCATCTCCTGCCATCTGGTGATGGCTCACGCTTGCGATCAGTAAAGCTATCGAAACTGTCGCTGCAGCGAACATTTTGGATTTATTTCGTAATTAAACGTGTTTAACATGTTAATCTCGTTAATATAATTATTTAGATTAATATTTGTTTGACTATTTTACAGAGATTTAACGATTGGTAAATAATCGTCTCGTCTCGCTCTTGCTTGCAGTCATGACGAGAGAACCAACGAGGATGCTGCCATCTTGTGGCCAGTGTTCCGCCAGTCGCTGGCACCCCCGCTGCAGTCACCGCTGGTACCGACTACAGCTGTGTGCGGTCTACACACTACTCCTGCTCTCCGTGACTGTTCTCTTGTCGTCGATGCAGACCGGCGAATGTCCGGCAGCGCGGGCGACGCGCGGCGACCGTGGCGCCACCACTGCACACCTCCGTCACCCGGCGAGCGCGGCGGAGTCGTCGTCGTCGTCGTCGTCGTCGTCGTCGTCGTCGGCCGTGACGACGGCAGCAGCAGCAGCAACAGACTGCGGATACTACACTCTACGCGACGCCGCCCGTCGCAACGCGCGTGCGATGCTGTGGCGCCACCTGGCGGCAGCGAGCGAGGGTATCGCGGCGGCGCTGCGGACGGTCGAGCGCGCGGAGACGGCGCGCGCGATGGCGCCGTCCTACAACGCGCTGCAGACGATACTGGTCTACCTGAACACCACCCACCGCCCCCGCGCTCCCAAAGACCCCGCCCGCCCGCGAAGGCCCTGTCGTCGCCCAGCCGCCGGCCGCGCGCGGGGAGGGTGTGTCCCGGAGGTGTATCACGCGAGCATCACGGATACCCGTTCTTCCACACCGGCTTCGAGCGCGTCGCCTGCAACAGCAGCGCCCCCTTGCAGCGGCTCGTCAGCGTGCTTCTCGACCTCCGCGGCGGCGAGGATTCGGACGGCGGTCAGTTCGCGATCCTGCGGGAGATCGAGCACGTGCTGCCCGGCGTGCCGGTCGTCGCCGCGGCACGAGGGGGCGCCACCGCGAGCTTCCTCCGCCGACTGCGGCTGCGCAACCTCGTCGTGCTCGACGACGCGACGAGCGCGACCACCGGCGCCGTCTGGAACGCGCTCGCCGCGCGCGTCGCGACGCCGTACGCGCTTGTCGGGCGCCACCTGGCGGCGTTCAGCAACGACTCGCGGCTCGAGCGTCTCGTCGCTGAGCTCGGACACTCTGACGTCGCCGCCGGCGCCGCGCGCACGCCCGACGGACACTGGACGAACGGCTGCGAACAGGTGGCGCTGCACGCTCCCTGCGACGACGGTGACGACGACGGTGGCGCCACCGCGCGGCGGGGGCTAGTCTACGTCCACGGCTACCACCGGTCGGCGCGCGAGTGCCTGCGCTGCGATGGCGCCACCGGTCCGTTCGTCGTCGCCGCCGACCGATTGCGCGACGTCGGATTCGACGAGCGGTTGCCCGCGGCGACGGTCTTCCGCGACTTCTTCCTGCGCGTGCGCGCGGCGGGCGGCCGCACCGTCGTCTGCCCCGACGCCATGTTCTTCGTCGACGACGAGTCGCGGGCCGACGTGGCCGCGCTGCGAAGCCTCGCCGCCACATGGGGCGCCGGCTGCGCACGTCTGCCGGGCGGGGTCGCTGTGACGGTGCCGTGCGACGCGGGAGCGGCGTCGGAGGAGGACTGCTGCACGAGCGAGCTGTCGCGCGCCGTCGCGGCGACCGTCGACGCCTGCGTCGGCGCCGGAGTCGTCTGCCAGCTGCTCGACGCAAGCGCGCGCGACGCCGTGACGTCACGCGGCGCCGCCGGCAACGCGACGCTCGCGTACCTCGCGGCGAACCACACCGCCGTCGCCTCCCTCCAGGGGGCGTTGCGGTCGGCCGGATACGAACTGCGCGAGGCGGAGCCGCCGCGGTGCTGCGACGCCGACGGGGGCGCCACCGGCGGCAGGTTTCTCGTGACGGCCTCGTGCGGTTGGAAGCTCCATCTGGTGGGCCGTCGGGATTTGGACGCGAGTCGGGAACAGACTACGGGAGCGTCCGCTACGAAGCTCCTGTATGCCGGACGGTGGGTGAACGGGCCGTCGAACCCGGGTCTGTACGTGAGAAACCAGCAAGGTCATGAGTACCTCGGCAAACTGTTGTAGCGGCCGAGGACGACCCAGTGGCTCTTCTTTACTTATCGAATAATGCCTGACCAACGTCCACTTAGATCGTCGTCCGACCATCGATCATCCTCATCACCGTGCTCAGGCTTCATTTGACCGATGTCCACTCACACCACATGCAGCCATTGTCCACTAGTCTTCATCCAACCCTCGTCCACTCAACACTTCATCCAACCCTCGTCCACTCAACACTTCATCCAACCCTCGTCCACTCAAGCACTCAATCTCAACTCACCCACTCAACACTTCATCCACCCTCACCACATCAACACTTATCCGCCCCTCGTCCACCAAAGCACTTCATCAACCCTCGTCCACTCAAGCACTTCATCCAACCCTCGTCCACTCAAGCACTTTCATCAACCTCGTCCCTCCAACACTGGTGCTCACCGACCCTCACCGCCTCCACATCAACCTTCATCCAAAGCCCTCACCCACTCAACACTGCCTCATACCGACCTCGTACCTCAACACTTCCATCCACTCCTCGTCACTCAACCACTGTTCATCCAACCCTCGTCACTCAACACTCATCCAACCTCACCCACCACACTTCACCAATTCCTCACCCACTCAACACTGTCATCCCGACCCCACCCACTCCAACACTCTCATCCAGACCGCAGCGTCGCCCCTCAACACTTCATCCGACCCTCGCCCAGCTCAAACACTTCATCCAAACCCGTCGCACTCAAACGACTGCTTCATCCAACCCTCGTCCACGTCATCACTTCATCCCCCTACCCATCAACACTTTCATCCAATAGCCTCACCATTCACATTCATCCAAAGCCCTCGCCCACCAACACTTCATCCGACCTCGCCCAACACTTCATCCGACCACTCGTCCACCAACACTTCATCCGACACTTTTTGTACCCCACAAGGGATCGAAGGGACTTCTTGACACCGGAGAGCTTTGGACCTGAAGACTTCAACACGGTCACAGAACTACTGATGGACACAATCGTGTGCGTCAAGCCCCACCAAGACTCCGCAGATGACCGCTCACTTTCGTGTCAAGAGTGGATATAATGATAAGTAAACTATCGAGGAGTGAATAAAATCAAACTACTTGAATTTATTCACTCATGATACTATAATAATAATATAATATATATATATATATATATATATATATTATATATACATATATCTACAGTGTACTCTTGTTTGTATATATAGCGCGTTGTTACTATTGGTCAGTATTGTGTCCTGTTTATTATTAATACTTACTTATATACACTGTGCTTGTTTTCCTATCACAACTGCGACTCGGAGTTTATTTACTCCCTATTGTTTACTACCTATTATATTATAATACTTCTGCTGTGACGTGTCACAGCGTTCTTATTGCGAGGTTTATGGTGCACAAATCAAGACGAAACAAACGAGAGATAATCGTTAATATTGACAGTTTCCATCCGACATGTATATATTATCTTATTCAAGAAAATTACACATTTTTGTACGACGAAAAGAACGAACGTAAGAATATAGATGAGTAAAGCTGGAGACGAATGAATATTGTCCGATGCATGACTTATGAAATTATTATACAACTCGATAGAAATGTGCGCTTCATAGATCACTCTTTTCACTTACACAAGACATGACTTACATCTGCACACTACAACTCACACTCGCTGTAGATAGCGCCAATGTTTATCTGCAACCTCTTAGGCAAAATGTCAGTTAAACACTTCGTCACATATATGTCACCATGTCGCCGTGACTCACAGAAATAGTCAATTCTTAAAGGGTCACTGAAGGAGGACAGCATACATGCTTATAAATCATACACAGAGAGAGCTATCATCAGTACCCATCTTTGCACTAGATCTTAAATAAACATTTTTTGACAAAGCTCACAGCCTGTGCACACCCCACGCTTGATGCGACCCACATAGTGAAACGTGCCGGTTGCAAGCACGTTCCAAAACTTGAATTGTGCAAAAAGAGTGATTCATTTGTCTATTCAAAAATTCGTCCACATACAAATTTGCTCTAGCTATATCGCGCCCCCAGGTGGCAGCAGCGTGCAGTCGGTGATTGTGACGTGGCGTGCCGTCGTCACGCGCGCGACTCTGGATCAATATTCGCCGTCGCGTCTCCGTTTCACGCTACGTGATGTCGTTAACTACAAACGAATACATTCAAACCACTTTTACACCTCGACACTAACTTAATATACAGGTAGTAGACACGGCTAACCATTGCCATCATTGTCGCATATATATCTATATATATATACATATATCTTTATATATATACATATATATATATATATATCTATATATATACATATATATATATATATCTATATATATACATATATATCTATATATACTCTATATATATATATATATATACATATATATATATATACATAATACAAATCTGATCATATACATCGTACGACAGACATCGCACCCGGCACGACATGCAGTCATGATCGGTACACATTGATTTTAACCGGGGAACACGCCGTCATTCTGATGCCGTCATTCCTACTCTGAGCTGGCAGCGCTATTCACGTTCACCGGGGAGTATGTAACGCCACATCGCCGGCGGAAAAGTCGCCCACACTCCCCACCGCCACGGCATGCGAATCACAGCGCGACAAGCGGCGACCCCTACATGTAAGCTCGTGCATCGACTGATGTATGCCATCTTACATGTATGACCAGCCGACGTGGGTATTGAGCAGTGGCGCCCCCTACACGTAGATTGTGGCGCCCCCTACACGTAGTCCTGCTCGATGCATGCATCGAGTGGCGCCTCCCTATATGTAGATTGTGGCGCCCCCTAGATGTAGGCCCGCTTGATGCACCCCCGGACTGCTGTTTATCTGTGTGTTAACTATGTTTAGTCTAACCACCTCGTTACAGCGATGTATCATGATATATATCGATAATCAATCTTTACGATGATATATCGATAGACGATGGTAAAGTACTAGTAGGACATGGTAGTCTATGAGGAATACTTTTATATGCACCTAACTATAGATAGATAGAGAGTAGATGTTAAATAAGTCATTTGTATTAATGTTGTTGCGCCACTTTCATCGTTACAGCTTGATTTTGTTTGTTTGTAAGAGTTCTGCTTGTGTTTCGTGTCTTACTGGTGCTCTCGCCATTTTGCTGTCTGTGCAGTCATATCAGGAGCACATGTACGAACTCATGCTAGTTTACTACAAGTACTCCTAATTCAGATGTATGCCTGTGTGTAGTGCTACATGTAGTTCTTACATGTAGTTATCTGGCTTTAACCTTCTTCTATCATAAATCTGAATAGGTTCCAGTGAAATCTTTTGCCCCCTCTTATGTTGCCCCCACTAACACACTACTCTAATTAGATAACAATGTAAATATATGTGCCACTACACTCTACAGTTCTCCATGCCAGTCAATCAACAGTGTACACATAGGTGGCACTACAGTTCTCCACGCTAGCCCGACGAGAGCGCGAACGACGAGGTCGAATGCAATGTATACGCATTCACAATAGCAATAGATATATACGATGACGTTTGTCCTAACCTTCTCGCCCGCGTCTCTCTCTCTTCGCAGCCCGAGCGTTCGCGGAGGGCGCCGGCGGACGCCTCGTCGGCGTCGGCAGACGACGAGGAACGCGGCGTGAAGCTGGGCCTCGGCGACTTCATCTTCTACAGCGTGCTCGTCGGCAAGGCGTCGTCGTACGGCGACTGGAACACGACGATTGCGTGCTTCGTCGCGATCCTCATCGGGCTCTGCCTCACGCTGCTGCTGCTCGCGATCTACCGCAAGGCGCTGCCCGCACTGCCCATCTCCATCACGTTCGGACTGACGTTCTACTTCACGACGTCGCTCATCGTGCAGCCGTTCGCCGACCGCCTCGCCGTCGAGCAGGCCTACATCTAGGGGGCGCCGCGGGGCGCCTGGTGAGCGTCGAGCAGGCCTACATCTAGGGGGCGCCGCGGGGCGCCTGGTGAGCGTCGAGCAGGCCTACATCTAGGGGGCGCCGCGGGGCGCCTGGTGAGCGTCGAGCAGGCCTACATCTAGGGGGCGCCGCGGGGCGCCTGGTGAGCGTCGAGCAGGCCTACATCTAGGGGGCGCCGCGGGGCGCACGTCGAGCAAACCTACATCTAGGGGGCGCCACACACGCTCCTCAAGAAGCCCTATGTATCGACAAAAACGGTAGAAATACGCATCAACGCATGCACGTACACTCACACACGTAGCATAAACACACACACACGCACACCCATGCACAAATGCAAACACACATGTACACACGCAAAAACACACGCGTGCATACAAACTCAGACACACCAGTATAAACACACATGTTCAGACACATGCACGCATGCACAGACGCATGCATGCCCGCACACACATGCACAGACACATACATGCACAAACGCACATGTACACGCAAACACAGTCACATGCACGCTCGCAGACACACGAACAAACACGCACGCACGCACGCAAAACCACACACACACACACACGCACACGCACGACCACATGCACACACACACGCATGCACAACCACACACACACGCACGCACGACTACACGTGCACAAACACAGAAGAGCACGTATAAGCAGCAGCAGAATCAGCCTCTACCTGCGTCGCGTTAAGCACCCGTACCGCGTTGCGCGCCTGCTGCCCTGAGCTGCCGCTGCTGCTCAGCCGCTCCTGCCGCCGACGCTCCCTCTCGCCGCGCCGCGCCTCCGCCTCGCCCTCCCACCGCTCGGAGAACCCGCCGGCGTCGCCGCCGTCGCAGCGCGGCACGTCGTCCGCCATCGTCACGCCCCACATCATCGCCGACGAGTAGATGAGAGCGGGGAAGAGCGGCTCGTTGCGCTCCTGCGCCGTCTCGACGAGCACGCGCAGCGGACCCTTCGGGCAGAGCACGGCGACGAGGTCCCAGACGGAGATGACGCCGAGGAGAACCCACGTCGTCCAGTCGGGCAGGAACTTGATGAAGATGAGCGCCATGAGCGCGCTGACGACGATCAGGTAGGCCTGCTGCAGCTTCAGCGGACCCTTCCAGTGGATGCAGACCATGCCGACGACGCCGAAGTTCCACATGACAAAGCCGACGGTGAAGTAGTCCATCGGGACGTTGTAGGCGACGAGGACCTCGCCGAGGTAGATGTAGGAGAAGAGGAAGAGCAGGAGCAGCGAGGAGAGGATCAGCCAGCCGTGGATGACGCGGTAGCAGCGGTACTTGTACAGCGCGATGAGCACCATCGTCATGACGACGATGAAGCCCATGAAGATGAGCGCGTTGGCGATCGACTGCCACGCCTTCGAGCCGGGGTCGTCCGTCTCCTCGTGGAACGGCGTGTAGATCAGGTAGCCGGTCTTCTCCGTGTAGTACGTCACGCTGCTGATCGTCGCTATGACGACGAGCATGCAGATGGTGACGGGCTTGAAGAGCATGATCACGTGAGCGGCGCCGTACTTCAGCTCTTCCTCCTCCTCCACCTCCTCCTCCTCCGCCTCGCATTGTGCAGATTCCAAGTTTGGGTACGACAGCCACACACAATCTACCTTGTCGCTTCTCACTACGTAGCGAGAAGTAGTACGACGTGAAGCAGTCGTAGAGTCTGGTCCACGTAAAAAATTTTTATTTTTTGGGGGCTACTTTTCAAGCTCGCGTGCATGAAAATAGCACTCAAAAATTTGTTTTGCATTGAACTCTATGCAAATTTACGGGGGCTCTTTTGGGCATTTCCGGGGCTCTTTTGGGCATTTCCGGGGCTATGTATTTTTTTCACTGGTCTGATCGGACTAGTTGAGGCCCAGGGAAAATTGAGGACTAACAGTCCGTAGTAGTGGAACGTACCCCCAAGTAATGGAGTAGTTACTAACAAAGCACAAAGACTGAAAGAGGAAATATCTTTTAATAATTTGATCAGCGTAATTATTAAAACGCCACCACGCTCAACACATACAATATCATGGAGAAGTTGGACAGGAGTTAAAGGGGTAGAGCGCAAACAGTATATCTGTGAACGACGATGAATATCGTGAAACGAACACGTGAAAACGAACATGTATATCTGTAGCTCCTGAATTCAAATTTTGTCTTCCTCGCTTCTCTCCAGGACTGCTATGACTGATAGCTCCAACCTTTCTAACGACGGATTCCAAGCAGAAGAGGGAGCCACCCGTCTGATACCTGACGACCAGGGATCAGAGCGAACGCCCCCTGACCCCACGCGACACCCTGACGTCATCGCCGCAGAAGCCATGAACCAGAACGTGTATCACGACACCGTCGACTACGGCGCCATGTCGTGGACCGGCGACACCCAGCAAGAGGACGCCACCGTCGCTGCCGCGCCGCGCGAGATGGCGGCTCCCGCGTTGCCGGCGCGGCGCAACGTCGGGGAGGACGGTGGCGGTGGCCGATTGGGTGTGGCTGCCGTACCCAAACTTGGAATCTGCACAATCTCGAGATTGTGCAGCGATTGTGCTGCCCAAACTGCGGATTCCCTAGTTTGGCTGACAAATCTCAAGATTTGGCCTCTCAATATCAAGGCCTCTTATCCGAAGTGAATATGCCTCAAGTTATAACCGCTACTAAAATTTAACCTCTAACTATCGTTGCAATGGTCTACTTGTGGTATTTCTGGTGAACGAACATTCGATTTGCGAACTTCAAACGGCCATTTTTGGCGGCCTGCTGAGTAAGCGGGAACTATGTAATTCCGCACGTGGAGGGGTGGGCGGGTTGGGTTGGTTGTGGACAAAAACATTGTTG